ACTTCCTTTTCCTCAACCCAATCCTTAAAAGGGTAGCTTCTTCTTCTTCTAGCTTATACTTAAACTTCCTTTTTCTTCTCACGGACCGTGGTGTTCTCCACCTCTTCGACTTTCCCCATCCCAAAAGGGTAGCTTCTACTACTTCAGTCGGAGCTTGGACAGAAACTCCTTTTTTTTCTCACGATCCGTGGAGTTTTTTGTCTTCTTCGACTTTCGGATCTTGAAAAATGTCTTTCTTTTTGTCTTTTATATTTCCGGTGGTGTCACCCTCGTTTTTCTCGGTCGGATCTTGGAGTTACAGGGTCCCAACTTGGTTCATCCGAGGTGCCGCTCCCTTCAGATACATTTTTTCTTTGGGCAAGAGCGCAATGGAGGCAACACTGACGCATTCTCCCTCCCCCTCCTCAATGGCCAACGCCTCAAGGAGCTCCCTTCCAAGCTGCTTTCGGTGTTTTGCTAAAACGGTGACGCTTGTGAAATGAGGAGCACATTTGCAGGCCCGACAATGTGCCGAGAGGTGGCCCGCCGACGTTAGTGCGGTCACAGAGGCTGCATGTTGTCTGGTGCGGTCGTTGATGCACCTCCCCGTCTGTCCTATGTAGCTTTTGCCACATGACATAGGGATCTTGTAAACCACTCCTTTTTCGCATGGGGCGTAGGGTGTTCGATGCGCAGTGCTGCAGGTCGTCGTCCCGTTCTGGGCGGTTTTCCGGTTCACCCTACGGCACATGGCGTAGGCCTTGTTGGGGGTGGAGCACACAACGTGGACGCCTTGTCGGCCGGCGATCTTTTTTAATCGATGAGTAATGCCGTGAACATACGGGACCACTGCGAAAGGCGTTGGGGGCTTCTTTTGAGTTGTTTGATTCTTCTCAGGATTTTGACGTACTTGCCTACAAAGCTTTTCACATACCGGTACGAGGAGGGTACTCGAGTACCCAGAATCCTGGAGTCGACCCAGCTGTCCTTGAAAGCAGCGCCCCACCTTATGAGGGCAGGACTTCTGTAGCGCCGAGGCTAAAGCTCTGGTGGCCAACCCCCGTTTTACGTTTTTGGAATGTTCCGAGGTACACGGAAGGAACCCCTTACATGAACGGGGTTCATAACTCCAGCACACATGGGAAGGTTGAAACTCCAATGAGAGGTCTAAAAACCGTATGGAATTGTTGACGGGAAGTTCATGGGTAAAAGCCAATCCGTGGCAGCTATGTTCGAAGCTGCGCATGACCACGTCTAAGCACCCGTTACTCTCCTCATCTGCATCAGAGTTGCTTAGTATGAGGAAGTCGTCAACATACCGAAAGATGGCCTCGATGCGTTGATCCTTTAACTGGTGTTGAATGTTCCTCCCGCACGCTGCTAGGAATAAATCGCTCAAGTAGGGGGCCACTCGAGACCCGATGCACACACCGCTTCTTTGTAAAAATAGCTGATCCTGGTGTGACACCACCGTTGCAGAAAGATATGCCGTCAGGAGCTCCAAGAAGCTGTCAAGGTTCATCCCTGTTGAATTTTGAAACCCTTGAAGACCCTGCTCCTCTATGGTTTCTCGGAGGACCTTGAGGAGAGCCGCATGGGGAATGGAATAGTAGAGGTCTTGGATGTCCAAGGAAAAACCTGATACAATATCAGAACCCTTCTCCTGAAGAAGGCGAATCACTGCCTCGGAGTTTGGTATCCGGAAAGGATCCTTTACTTCAACTTGTGATAGGTTTTTCGCCAATCAAAGTGAAACTTGCCCTTGCCAGGTGTGTTGCTCTGAGACAATGGCACGAAAAGGGACCCCTTCTTTATGTGTCTTTGCCGAGAAGAACACACTTAGGTCCCCTCGTTGGGCTCCTCTGATTTTTGTCACTAGCCCACGGCTTTGTTCTTTTTCGAGTATCTTGAGTATGGCTCGTTTTGCTGGTTTGACTTGAACTTGAATCACTTGTTTGAAGTTCTTGGCTAAAGTTTTTGTTGCTCTGTCTCCATACGACCCCAGAGTCCAGAACTACAAACCCTCCCTCCTTGTCCGAGAGACACAATCGAAGGTCCTTGCGACGCAATTCCTCCACCGTTGAGGCAAAACTCATCCGTGGAGGTCTCAAGCTCTTTATGCCTGCCAAGCACTCAAGACCCTCGTTGATGATTTGTGAGGTTGCTTCCTGAGGCGCCTTAGATGCGATTTCTCGTACCATTAGGACCTTATCGATATCACTTAGCCTAGGTGGAAGGGCGAACTTCGGACCCTGCTCAAGCACCCTCCGGGCTGATGCTGAAAGGGACACATCTCCGATGATCTGGAGTGGCGTGCTTTTAGGTACTGTTCTAACCCTTCGCGCGAGATGGTGTTTCCAAATTGGGAGAAAATAAATCTTCCACAGGTGCTCTGTGGAGGACCTTGCTACGTTCATGTGGAATGAAAAGGCGTTATAACTGAGGCACTTGGCCCTCAGAAAATCAGTCAGAATTCGAACTTGCCGCCAGGCCTCGGACTTCATGATCTTCGAGACTCGCTGGGCATGACCTGCTGATGGTGCAGTGTAGCCGAAGAAGAACCGTACCTCGTCAAGAAGAATCTTCTTTCTAATGCTGCGGGCGAGCAACCTCGCTCGGCAGGTGTTGGTGACAATGAGCTGACAAAGTTCCCGCGGGGTGAGGAGGTGAAAATAAGGAAAAACTGCGCTCAGAGAACTAGAAAGGTAAGTAGTGATGGCCTGTAGCTGAGCCGGTTGGTTATCCATGCTTACTGATTACCAGCTGAACGTTAGGAAAGCGACGAAGAGAGAGAGAAAGAAACACACTGCTGGACTATCAACCTTTTTTTTTTATATACACTTCCTTTTCCTCAACCCAATCCTTAAAAGGGTAGCTTCTTCTTCTTTCAAAGCTTATACTTAAACTTCCTTTTTCTTCTCACGGACGGTGGTGTTCTCCACCTCTTCAACTTTCCCCATCCCAAAAGGGTAGCTTCTACTACTTCAGTCGGAGCTTGGACAGAAACTTCCTTTTTTTCTCACGATCCGTGGAGTTTTTGTCTTCTTCGACTTTCGGATCTTGAAAAATGTCTTTCTTTTTGTCTTTTATATTTCCGGTGGTGTCACCCTCGTTTTTCTCGGTCGGATCTTGGAGTCACAGGGTCCCAACTTGGTTCATCCGAGGTGCCGCTCCCTTCAGATACATTTTTTCTTTGGGCAAGAGCGCAATGGAGGCAACACTGACGCATTCTCCCTCCCCCTCCTCAATGGCCAACGCCTCAAGGAGCTCCCTTCCAAGCTGCTTTCGGTGTTTTGCTAAAACGGTGACGCTTGTGAAATGAGGAGCACATTTGGAGGCCCGACAATGTGCCGAGAGGTGGCCCGCCGACGTTAGTGCGGTCACAGAGGCTGCATGTTGTCTGGTGCGGTCGTTGATGCACCTCCCCGTCTGTCCTATGTAGCTTTTGCCACATGACATAGGGATCTTGTAAACCACTCCTTTTTCGCATGGGGCGTAGGGTGTTCGATGCGCAGTGCTGCAGGTCGTCGTCCCGTTCTGGGCAGTTTTCCGGTTCACCCTACGGCACATGGCGTAGCCTTGTTGGGGGCGGAGCACACAACGTGGACGCCTTGTCGGCCGGCGATCTTTTTTAATCGATGAGTAATGCCGTGAACATACGGGACCACTGCGAAAGGCGTTGGGGGCTTCTTTTGAGTTGTTTGATTCTTCTCAGGATTTTGACGTACTTGCCTACAAAGCTTTTCACATACATTGGAAACACCATCTCGCGCGAAGGGTTAGAACAGAACCCAAAAGCACGCCACTCCAGATCATCGGAGATGTGTCCCTTTCAGCATCAGCCCGGAGGGTGCTTGAGCAGGGTCCGAAGTTCGCCCTTCCACCAAGGCTAAGTGATATCGATAAGCTCCTAATGGTACCAGAAATCGCATCTAACCGCCGAATTCATAGATGTCACTCCGAGTCATGCCAAGTGAAGGGCGACCCTTCACTTACAGAAGGGCGGTTGAAGGGGCACTTCAACTTGAAGTGAGGTTTACCATTCTGAAATGGCACTTCGCTTTCACTCGAGCAAGTGAAGGGAGCCCTTCTACGGGATGCGTCCGGGAGCGAGAGTAGAAAAGAAATTTATATTTATACTTTGCGTAAGACCACAAAAGTAAGTTAATTCTTAGTGTGTTTACATAATTTGTGTTTATAAAGAAATATTAGCACATAACAAACATGTTGCGATTTCAGAAACGAACGTAGCTCGTGCATCTTCTTTCAAACTAAATTGGCCAGCAATATAGCCATCAATATCCATGCTGAATACATTCCAAGTCCTTCCGATATCCTTGTTCCAACGCCACCACCGCCGTTGCCTTTTCGTGTTTACTTGCCCTGCTGGTTTGTTCTTTTAAAGTTTTCATTTCCGTAGCGTGTAATGGATAAGGCCAAGGCACCCGCTGCGCGGTTCACAGAGATCGAAAAGGCAATACTGATGGAACTTGTAATGACGTACAAAAAAATCATCGAATGTAAAAAGACCGACGAATCGTCGTTAAACAAAAAAAAGGCAACTTGGATTCGACTCTGCAACGAGTATAACTGCAACCACGGTGTATATCGACGGGACGTGAAGCAGCTAAAAAAATGGTGGGAAAATGTGAAGGCCAAAGCGAAGAAGGACCATTCCAAAGAAAAAAACAAGGTCCACAAAACAGGCAAGTCTCTCGTTCAGGTTTCTCATCGCGCTGAAAGTGCCTCGGAATGAGCGATGGGTCACATTTGTAGCCCGAACTGTCGGTCACAAATTCGCCCTTGTTTCGAACTGTTGTTTCTGGAATACCTGTCATGGGGGATGGAGCGTGAACGTGCGCAGACAAGTCGGTTATGCAACCTAATGCTGTCAGTTGAATACCGTAGTAACCTGACAATGGAGCAGCATGAACGGAACCGCAGCACGATATAATACTACCGTTAAATCAGTAATTCTACTTGCAGTTTTTGCGGCGGACATGTACAGTAGATCACAACTGACAACACCCAGATGCTCAATATTTCATTTCATTACGCATGGGGCAGAGGGGATGAACATTCCCTATCAGCAAATGCATGCCTATAAATCGGGGTATATTTAAAAAGGAAAACAGATCTTAGATAACATTAGAACTTGGAGTGCCTAGATTGACTACTGTTTGCTCCTTTAGGAGGGGGGCCACCTGGCAAGCCAATGAGCGCCACCTCCGTGCTGGTTGGGGCGGTGGCCTCACACGTGTTCAACAGACAGGAAAATATGGAGGACAGCGATGGGGCACCCTATCTGCCCCCGGTCTGCAGCCTCCCAGTTCTCCGACTACTGCAGCCGATGCTGGACGGCGAGGAGGACCCTCTTGATGCCGACTTGGGTAGAATGCTTGAACCGTTTCCATGTCTTGACCTGTACTTTCTAAACTGGTACCTTTTCGTCTTTACCCACTGATCTTCTCATGGATATGCATGGATACGGTTATAGATCATAATGAGTCTGCCTTCAGAAATGTTTCACCTGGTGTTCCTCAGTAGTACATACTGGCACCCCTACGTTTTTTAATAATCATGAATGACCTTGCAGCAACCATCTCATCTAATATTAATCTTGTTGCAGATGACTGTGTCGTCAATAACAAAGTAAAAAGTGTGCATGACAACATTCAATTTCAAGGTAATTTAGTAAAAATGAACAAATGGTGCGAACAGCATGTACATTACTTATGTACAAGGTAACATATATCATTGCAGGGCTGGGTTCCATACAGCTTCAAAACAGTACATGGCAACTACTGCAGACTAACAATGACCATACTCCCCTGACAAAGAAACAAACAGCACAGGGTATTAAAATAATCATAGCATGATTTCTGCCAAGAAATATCTATACCAAGCACTCCAAAAGGTGGAAACGGTTAAGTGATCTAGTGGCCTAGTTTATGGCACAGGTTCAAAATGGATGAAAACATTGTTACACATTAGATCAGCAGCAGAAAAAAAAAAATCAAATACTTCAAATTGCAACTGCATGAAAAACAAAAATACAATCTCAAACTTATAAAAACCCTTTCTACTCATCATGTATGTCCCATTGTTCACTTCATAACTTCTACGTGTTCTTTCAATTGCAGAGGAGCCCGGTTCACCAGCTGGGCCTGCCTCAGACGTCGGTGCACCACTGTCACCAGCGGCTGCCTGCATCGCTGATAGACCTGCAGCAGCCCCAGCAGCTTGCCTGATTAGCCAGACATCTACTGCAGGGTCACCAGCTCCTACACCTGCGGCTGCTGCAGCGTGCAACAGTGGTAGTGCGGCAGCAGCTGTGGGCAGTGGTGCCCGCCAGGTCGGAGGACGTATGGCGCTGCTGGAAAGGAGCCTCGCAGAGGAAAACGATATGAGGATGGCCTTTGTCCAGCAGGAGCATGCCCTGCGCTGCAACTTCCTTGAACAGGACCACCGCGACGCACTCAGCAAGAGAGCTGCGCTGCATGAAATGGAAATTAAATAGCGCGAGGACGAGCTGAAAAAAAGAAATGCCATTCACGAAATGGAGATGAAGCTCCTGTGTATCAAGGAAAACATACTGCTGCAGGAGCTGAGCCAGAAGGCTGCACAATAAATCATGTTCAAACTGCTATGCCTGCTTTACTGATGGTTCACTTTTAAAGTCAAACTGAAGTATCACACACTTGGAAGTACGACTCCTCACCTTCATGGCCTGTGTGATGGGCCTCTTGAGCCTACGTGCAGCTCACGTAAAGCTCAGCAGAATGATGTTCTGCCGGATACGCAGACCCGAAGGAGAGTCCTCCGGGAGAATCGGTGGCAGGTGTGGCTGTCGCCGCCTTCTGGCATTCCGTGCCCTGGGACTTGGTGGCGGGGGTGGAGGAGGAGGTAGGGGCTCATTTCTTGCACGTCCCAGATTATGCAAAGCCGCACACGCGGTGATGATGCTGCATGAGTGGCGAGTCTTGTGCTGGAGCCGCATATCCAAACAGGGAAATCGTCTCTTCCAGACCCCAAAGGCCCTCTCGACGGAGTTCCTCGTTCGGATCTGGGCCTTGTTGTACCTAAATCAAATTATAAGGCATGTGATCGATTTTTAGGCATCTGGGAACATACTTGCAATCACTGTATTTTCTTTTTCAGTATGGAAATAACAGGTTGACATTCTTTTGTCGAGGTTAGATATGTTTTATTGACAACTTTTCGTGCACGCACGGCTTCATGATACTGTTGACATCTCATGGAAACTTTTTCGTTCTTGCGACATTTCGTCGACAAACGTTTTCTTCTGCTAGGTGGATTGAATTTAGTGGTCGTGGTCGTCAAATCTTTTGATTTTTTTTTCATTTGCCTAATGCTGAAAAAGAAAAATTAGACTGAATTTACTTTTTAGTGAATGAACCACCGACGGCGGGGCAAGCTATGTCTTAAACAGACCACACGATCACACCTCGCTTTGCTCCGCTCTGCTAGGGGAAATGGTTCATTAGTGATGTGCGCGACCAAAAGCGCCGCTGCGGTCAGCTTTCGACGATTGGCCAAACCGTGGGCATATGAGCATTGTCAGATTGTCAGCTTTGACGGTGTTACTTTCGGATTGCAATGACTCCTAGCTTCCACTGTGCTTTTTAAACACACCACCGAAGTCGTCGTCGCACCTGATGGTAAGTAGACAGGATAACAACTGGTGACGTCACGTCGAGGCAAATCCCACTCGTGACGTCACGGATGGAAACCATAACAGGGCGCCATTGAAACATCTCGGTGCTAAAATAATCTCAAGTTCGAGCTTGCACCAAGCCTTGTCGAAACCGCCAAGGGTTCGGCAAGGTAGGAAAGAACATTGGATATCGGCGAAGTGATCTGTCCATGAAACGCTTGAAGAACTGTTTGTCACCGGCAATGACTGCCTGCTATTACAGACATTAGTGATGTTGTCAGTGCAGTACCAAAACAAATCTTATACTTCTGCCGATGATTTGGCTTACCTCCCTCCGGGACTATTTGCCGCTCCAGGGTTTGCGAGCGGCGTCATCAGGAAAGGGAGACAGGCATAGCCCATATCCCCCAGCAGGACGCCGGGCACTCTGCTCTCCTCGTAAAGGGCACGCGCACGACTGCCATCAAAGATGCGGCTGTCGTGCACAGATCCTGGCCAACTTGCCACAACATCAAAGAACTGTAGCTGTGGGCCGGTGATGGCCTGCAGGTATATAACATTGCATTAATACGGCAATTTGGGCCAGTTGGCTCATGCTCGAAAACAAGTGAAACAACTGCCCCCCCCCCCTCCCCCCCGGGGCTGGCTACGTGCCTGTTGCCCGTAAATAACGTCGCATAAGCAAGCTAGGTATAGGCTGTGCAATGGCTATTTCGAGCGGGCCCAGAGGTGTACAATAAGCAGCAACAACACAGCTGATGAAAGGGTTTCCCTATGTTTTACAATGATCGGGTTGAACAGCTGAAATCGTTTTGCGTGAGCATTACCCATGCTTCCCAGCCTGGCAGTTTAGTAGGCAAGCTACGTCAATAAAGGGGGTATAAGAAATATGAGCTCACCTGGACGTTCAGGGAGAAGACTCCTTTCCTATTGCGATAAACTTCCGCATCATCTCCGCCGGGGCTTCTGATGCGCACGTGGGTGCAGTCGATGCAACCCGTGACGCCAGGAAACTGCCCCATTGCGTAGAAGTCGCGCATAACGCCGTGGTACTCCGACGCAGCCGGGAAGTGCACCAGCCTTCGGAAGAGCACCCTCGCGATGAGCGTCGTCACCGTCCTCACTGTGCGGCAGACAGTCGGCTGGGAGACATGCACCAGGTCTCCCGCTACCATCTGGAAGGTCCCGGCGCCGTAAAAGCGAAGGGTGACCAGCAACTGGAGCAGGGGGGTGAGCGGCAGTCCTCGGTTGTCGCCGGTTTGCTGGAGAGGCAGCAGCGTCAGGAGTTCCCTCACCGTCGTCTTCGTAAAGCGATATCTCGCGAGGAACTGGCGGTCACTGTACAGCTCCATCGGGTTCAGGCGGTCCGATAGATTACGCCGCGGCACCGACGGACCGAGCGGGTACATAACGCCGAACACAAGGTCGCACGCACGAGTAGCGAACTCAAAAGACGCGATCCTGCGAGCGGCATCACTCCGATAACCCGGGTAACCCGCCATCTTTTGCGATGAAGGGAGGCTCGAGTGTAGTTGAAGGGCGGTGCCACCGCTCACTTGAATTTTTTCGAGAAAAGTCCGAGTGAAGTGCGAGGCGAGGGAGCGTTTCGAGTGAAGGGGGATTTATGAAACGTAATGACACCCACTCAAGGGCGTTGGAAGTTAAGTTCGAGTGAAGTGGGATCTATGAATTCGGCGGTAAGGCGCCTCAGGAAGCAACCTCACAAATCATCAACGAGGGTCTTGAGTGCTTGGCAGGCATAAAGAGCTTGAGACCTCCACGGATGAGTTTTGCCTCAACGGTGGAGGAATTGCGTCGCAAGGACCTTCGATTGTGTCTCTCGGACAAGGAGGGAGGGTTTGTAGTTCTGGACTCTGGGTCGTATGGAGACAGAGCAACAAAAACTTTAGCCAAGAACTTCAAACAAGTGACTCAAGTTCAAGTCAAACCAGAAAAACGAGCCATACTCAAGATACTCGAAAAAGAACAAAGCCGTGGGCTAGTGACAAAAATCAGAGGAGCCCAACGAGGGGACCTAAGTGTGTTCTTCTCGGCAAAGACACATAAAGAAGGGGTCCCTTTTCGTGCCATTGTCTCAGAGCAACACACCTGGCAAGGGCAAGTTTCACTTTGGTTGGCGAAAAACCTATCACAAGTTGAAGTAAAGGATCCTTTCCGGATACCAAACTCCGAGGCAGTGATTCGCCTTCTTCAGGAGAAGGGTTCTGATATTGTATCAGGTTTTTCCTTGGACATCCAAGACCTCTACTATTCCATTCCCCATGCGGCTCTCCTCAAGGTCCTCCGAGAAACCATAGAGGAGCAGGGTCTTCAAGGGTTTCAAAATTCAACAGGGATGAACCTTGACAGCTTCTTGGAGCTCCTGACGGCATATCTTTCTGCAACGGTGGTGTCACACCAGGATCAGCTATTTTTACAAAGAAGCGGTGTGTGCATCGGGTCTCGAGTGGCCCCCTACTTGAGCGATTTATTCCTAGCAGCGTGCGGGAGGAACATTCAACACCAGTTAAAGGATCAACGCATCGAGGCCATCTTTCGGTATGTTGACGACTTCCTCATACTAAGCAACTCTGATGCAGATGAGGAGAGTAACGGGTGCTTAGACGTGGTCATGCGCAGCTTCGAACATAGCTGCCACGGATTGGCTTTTACCCATGAACTTCCCGTCAACAATTCCATACGGTTTTTAGACCTCTCATTGGAGTTTCAACCTTCCCATGTGTGCTGGAGTTATGAACCCCGTTCATGTAAGGGGTTCCTTCCGTGTACCTCGGAACATTCCAAAAACGTAAAACGGGGGTTGGCCACCAGAGCTTTAGCCTCGGCGCTACAGAAGTCCTGCCCTCATAAGGTGGGGCGCTGCTTTCAAGGACAGCTGGGTCGACTCCAGGATTCTGGGTACTCGAGTACCCTCCTCGTACCGGTATGTGAAAAGCTTTGTAGGCAAGTACGTCAAAATCCTGAGAAGAATCAAACAACTCAAAAGAAGCCCCCAACGCCTTTCATAGTGGTCCCGTATGTTCACGGCATTACTCATCGATTAAAAAAGATCGCCGGCCGACAAGGCGTCCACGTTGTGTGCTCCGCCCCCAACAAGGCCTACGCCATGTGCCGTAGGGTGAACCGGAAAACCGCCCAGAACGGGACGACGACCTGCAGCAATGCGCATCGAACACCCTACGCCCCATGCGAAAAAGGAGTGGTTTACAAGATCCCTATGTCATGTGGCAAAAGCTAGATAGGACAGACGGGGAGGTGCATCAACGACCGCACCAGAGAACATGCAGCCTCTGTGACCGCACTAACGTCGGCGGGCCACCTCTCGGCACATTGTCGGGCCTGCAAATGTGCTCCTGATTTCACAAGCGTCACCGTTTTAGCAAAACACCGAAAGCAGCTTGGAAGGGAGCTCCTTGAGGCGTTGGCCATTGAGGAGGGGGAGGGAGAATGCGTCAGTGTTGCCTCCATTGCGCTCTTGCCCAAAGAAAAAATGTATCTGAAGGGAGCGGCACCTCGGATGAACCAAGTTGGGACCCTGTGACTCCAAGATCCGACCGAGGAAAACGAGGGTGACACCACCGGAAATATAAAAGACAAAAAGAAAGACATTTTTCAAGATCCGAAAGTCGAAGAAGACAAAAACTCCACGGATCGTGAGAAAAAAAGGAAGTTTCTGTCTAAGCTCCGACTGAAGTAGTAGAAGCTACCCTTTTGGGATGGGGAAAGTCGAAGAGGTGGAGAACACCACGGTCCGCGAGAAGAAAAAGGAAGTTTAAGTATAAGCTTTGAAAGAAGAAGAAGCTACCCTTTTAAGGATTGGG